GTGGAACAGCTGGTTCCAAAAGGTTTTCCTTCGCATGTCGGACCTCCAGCGGGCAGCTTTTGGGTTGGTTCCTCTTCCTTGGGAGAGAATCACAACATCTCATCCCAAGCCTACCGGTGCCATTGGTCTTCGTTCACCTTTGTTTTGCAGAACTTCAGCCTCACCGGTGCCATTGGGCACGGGCCTACTGGCTTATCCAAGGTGGGTTCAACCAGGTCAGGTGGTTCAATGCTACGAAGGGGTTCTCACAACTTGACCCTTCCCCATTCTCAGCAGCTCCCGGGCGCCGGGCGCAACCCCCTTCCGCCTGTCGTCCTTGTCTCGATCCTTTTCTCTATCCTTAGAGCACTGTCGTGTGCTGCGAACCCGTAGCAGCTGGCCGCGTAGCAGCGAAATGAAGGATCAGCTGTGCGGCATCTTCTTCCGAAAGCTCTCTACACACGGCAGTTCCCTCTTGTGAGGCCTTGGCAACCCCCCAGTTCCCTGTCCCAAACCTGCTGGTGCCCGTGTGGAACCCTGGACTCTTGGATTTTGCTTTTTTAAATGCATGATTGATAGGTGGGCCCGCTTTTGGTTGCCGCCGGGCAAAACGAGGCATGGTAGACTAGACCCATGGACCATTCACCATTTCTTCCCTTTGGGCTGGGGTTCGGAGCGAGGTGCTAACATGTTGCTGTCTTCGTTTGAACCGCTTCGAACGTCGTTCGGAAACCACCATCGCTGTCGTCGTTCTGGGTTCTGGATGGAATGTTTGCGATGCCTTTGCAGTTTTCTTGATGTTTCAGATGGGAAATTCACCAGAACCCAGTGACTTTGCCTGTAACCCTCCCAAAAAGGCCCGCTACACATTAAGCTGACAAGATATCCAGGAGGCAGTATCACTGTGGTACCGCTCTGTCTGCGTGATCCAAGTCTCTTTCTCTCTATCATCATCACGTCGGTCACGCCTCTCCTCCTGGCGCGTGTATTTTCTCGGGGCGAGGTCAGCTGGGTGCACAAAGCACGAAAAGGAGAACAAGTGCGTGGCTAAATCCCACAAACATTAATGTTTGCAAAGCAGTGGTCAAGGATTCTTCAGTTCAAGCGGAGGTCTACGGAATTCGAACGAACTCACACGCGTCCCTGGTGTTTGATTTCTATTTGGTGCGTCTCATGTAGGATTCGTTCATGGTCCGTCAGCTATTTCCAGTGTCACCGCACGCAAATTTTGCACAGCCTGGTGGTCAAGAGCCCTTGGATGGCAGTTAGAGGTCTTAAACATGGAAATCATACCTGGACCTTCAAAGGGGTGTCCTGTCTGGAGGTAGGTCGTGGGCTGGGGCTTCCATTGGCGACCCCGACATGAAGGTACTGGCAGGTTTGTCAAATAGCATCTTTCAATGGCCACCCGGTTGCGCAACCGTTGAACAAACGTTGCCCCACCTTGACCCGTCTCTGTGTCCTTCCCTCTCTTCCGCGAACAGAATTTGGACCTTCTCTTGGAGCTGGGATCCGGCTTCCAAACAGGTCAAGAGCTTCTAGAGGATTCTGCCAAGCCTGGCTGACCTTCACAATCCGCGACCAACCTCCGCGTTTCCTTCTTCCGCTTTTTCTCGTCCGCGGTGGCTGCGAACGACGGAGGAGGCGTCGCGTCGGCGTCCTTCCAAGATCTCTCCTCTCGTCGTGGGCTGCGACGAGGGCTCCTGGCGATGGCTAGGCGCCCGGCTGGTGGGTTTTCCCCTTCGCCGGGCTGCATGCTGTGGTCGGAAGGGACGAAGTCAACAAATATCTTTGGCTGGAAGACTGATGAGTGGAATTTCTGCCAAAGCAGATTCTGGCTGTACATGGCTGTAAGAGCTACTTTGCTTGCAGTTCATTTCTACTAAACCAAGAAGAAACTCGAGTAGATCTCAACCAGTCTCGCTCAACCAGTCTGGTCGTTGGCATTTCAGGTTCGAGGCTGGTGGGGCGAAACCCCTACAATCCCCAGGTGTGCCGCGACGAAAGCGAACTCTCCAACGATGGGGGTTTCCCGAAGCCTATGAGTCGGGAGGCAGGGACTCCCAGGAAGCTGGAGAAAAAGTGAAGGGTCGATGTTGGCTGTTGGGATGTTGACTATTGGCTGCAAAGGACATCTTCAGACCCCTGCCGTGGCACCCATCACAGGCTGCCTTTGCCCTACAATGAGCTAAACACATCTTGAACACCTGGCCGAAAGGCAGTGGCCGAAACAAGTACCAAAAGGTTCCGCTCCTCATACCATGCCATCCTCCAACCAATTCGATCTCACTGGTATCACCGAATTCCCAGCAGCACAATGGAAGTATTCCATGAGCATTTCAAGAGAGGGATGAGTTAATTCACCCATTTGGGTCCAATCACATCGCCTGTCCCGCCATTTGGACTTCGCTTCTAGGTGGGAGGCCATCGCTCTTCTTTCGGTTGCCGGACGTCACCGCGCCACCGAACGGCCGGACGGCCCGATCTCCCCGTCTCCTGTCGCGCTCCCGGCGCTCGCGGCTGTCCCGCCGCCGCTCGCGGCTGTCTCGCCGACGGTCGCGGCTATCACGGCGGTCCTCGGAGAAGCCAGGTGGTCGGCCGACGGGTCGCTCAGGGTCGGATGTGCATCGGCTCCACCAGAGATGAAAGCGAATGTGTTTCCTTTGGTCTTTTCTCCATTTCATCTCCATCGAAAAGAAGGAACGAACATTTGTGGTCCAGTGGTGAATACACAGACCATCCAATTTCAACTCGTGAGAGAAGCCATTTGGACCACACAGACCATTCCAAAGACGTGGAACTGTGGTCTTGATGTCTTTGAGGTGGCGCCTTTGCCTCAAAAATGGAGGCACACCCACCAAACCACCGAGAATTGCACAAAACATCAGGAGAAGGTGGGATTTGCATTGGGTTCTACTGCTTTCAGACTTAGAAGTAGAATTCATGGCGGACAGTGAGCAAAGAAAGTGATGTAACTCCCCACTTCTTACTGCTTCAAGGAAACCACAGGTGGGAAGTCGGTTCCTTTTTCTCATCTCTGGCGGTGGAGGAAGCCTCGCTACAAATCCTGGTTGGAAGCCTCTCTGGCCCAGGCTGGCGAAGGCAGTTCCGACGGGTCACCCGACAGTTTCATTCGACCAGCAGAAACCATTTCGGAGGGTTTTGGGAGGTCTATAAACCACCCAAACTGGGTGGTGCTGGTATGGGTTTATTCTTGTTTTTATGAGACAAGACATGATACCAAGCATAGAGACGCTCAGTTTGCACCGCCTAAAGACCAGTAAACTCAGGTTGCCTGCGACAAACGTCGAATGTCTGCGTTGAGAGCTGAACGAAGGTGGTTGACCTCAACTTTTCATGCTTCAACCCTGAGACTGACTGCTTCGGTGCTTCGTCTGGGTGCGCGGGCGGAACGGAAGGAGTCGCGGTACCTGGAAGGAGAAGGAGTCGCCGAATTTCGAAGAGGCTGAGCCTCTGGAGCTGAAAGATCGGACTAAACCGGAACGATCGGTAAACTGGTCCGATCTGCTCCTCGCCGAGTGGGTGGTGGGTCAAAGGTGTTCAGTCTGTGCGAGGTGGGGGTGCCTGCAATCCTCTCCTCCTTCCGTTTTGGGAACGGCGAGCCGAGCCTTCAGAACAAGGGCGATGCCCGAAAGGGAATTGAGGGCTCCACACTTGGTGATCCATGGAAGACATAGGGACTTCCTTTAAAACAAAGCCCATGGATTCATCGCACCACCTGAAAAAATTGTTTTGTATGACCCCATGGATTCCATCATGACTTTCTCCTTACCTTTCTCCTTTCAACTTTCAAGTCATGTTTCCAGAAGATTCGATTGAACACACTAGTAGCTTCCCTGGTTTTTCCGCCGGATCTTCGTTCTTCGAACACATCCCCCCAACGCCGTCCATCCTCGTCCCAAATTCTGGACTCGGAAGCCCCCCACTTTTTCACGCAGAACCCAAACCTGTCATTCCCCAAAAAAGAGGCCAACAGGCAGACGTCTCAGGTCTAAACCAAACATATCATCCCGGCCATACCTCTTCCGGTTCTTCTGCGCTGGTAGGGAGGGCACCGATCCCGATCTCGGTCCCTCCGGTCCATGGCCTGGGAACCGGTGCGCGTCCGATCGCTCGCGAGAGGTAAGCCCCCCAAGAGCAAATGACTGCAGACCATGTAACCCAGTTTATATGTGACATCTGCCCGGAGTATGTAGATTTTTTGGTATATACACATACAATATGACGTCCCTGTCGACGAGAAAACACACGCACACAATGAGACTCTTCCCCAGCGAAGCTTCGACTGGTCTGATGGCTTCGCAATTGGAATTCAGCCTGGTGACCAAGGGAGGAATTGTTTCCTTTGGAGCAAGGGCGGTATTTACACTCCCGAAAACTCACATGGACCCGGGAGCGAATGGCACCTGGAAGGGCTGTTTTCTTTGCACGCTGCACCAGTGCTTTTCAGGGTCCATGTCTTTATTTTCCACGGGGTACTCCTTGTACCTCACCATCGCCCCTTGTAGCGATCACTCCCTTTTCGCAAAAAAGGCGGTCGTGGCTCGTGGTCCGCGAATAAAAACACACCAAAACCTCGGCAGGTTCCGCCGAGGTGCAAACACCACGGCGGTCCACAAAGCTCCGATCCGAGACTCACCCCCTTCGGGGGAGGTCTCCCGGATCACGAGCTCCAAAACGGGTGATCCTAACGGGCCCTTGTGCGGATTCCAGCAACATGCTTCATGCTTCAAGGAAAAACACGTTGGGAGATCTTTTTCAGGGAAGAACCTCACAAAACGTCAGCTTCGTGAAGTCACTGCAGTCGCAAAAAACCGCAGTCAGAGCAGTGGAGACGCTACCGGTATTGGGTGGAGACGCTTCTCGTCTCGGTATGGCGACGTGCACCATCTGGATGTGTCTCAACAGCCGTTTAGATGCTTTCGATCTGAGATGTCTCAACAGCCGTTTTCATGTCTCTCAGCTGCGGCGTTTTTGAGATGTGGACTCGGGTTTCTGATGGTCGACTTGAAGGATGCCGTGACACACCCAATGTATTCCTACAGGTATTTTTGTTGGAAAAATCTGGGATTTGCAAGGACCCATGCCCTGAATTGTAGATACCATTGACCTCCAGCAATTACCAGAAGACTCCCGGTACTCTCCCATTTCATGCCATCGATCGCCTTTGCTTCTCGATCGCCTCGTCTCTGGGCGTTGGCTCGCCTCTCCGTCGTCCTAGGCGTCTTGCATCGTCCGTCCCGTGGGTGAATAGGCCGTCTCAGGCATCTTGTTCTCCTCCTTTTCTCGTGTATTTGGAGCGGCCAAAGCCATTCCTGCAGCGTGGTGGATCATTGTGGCCATTCCAACCTCCTCCCGTTCTTCGACGTGAACAGAGCTTGGTGAGATGCTTCCATTGGTGGGTGGTATATGTTCTTTGCGGAGGCTTCTGTCAGCGAAAGAAAGGGGTCCTACCGTCCCGTTCTGCGTCAGTGGATTCGGCGTCGGCATCGCGACCGAATCGACCCGCCCCCACCTCCCAAGATGGTGATCACGGCTCCAGCCAGCTGGCTGGGCGAGAGCTGGTCAGTGCGCAGCAGCAGGGCATCCAGGAGAATCACCAAGAACCTACGGTGAAATGGTCCGGTTTTCGAGCTTCACGGGGAGGAAGGAGAGGTGGGACATGTGTGTGTGTGCCCCTTGTAGTCACAGGGATTCTTTTGAATTGTTTTGTTTTGTTTCAAGCAGGGGGACATGGCGTGCGTTCAGGGACCATGTCCAACGAAGCTACCTGACGCACGGGATATAAGAGCTGATCACTCTCACGTACCTGCAATTTTCCACTGCCTTTCAACTTTTAAGCTTTCCGTCATTCACTCTGCAGATGTGCACGTACGACGTCACCCTGTCGCTCCGATCTCGACTTGCGCTTTGGGCCACCTTTCCTTTTGAAGACCTCCAGGATCCAGGGGTTCGTACATGTACTCTTAGCAAATGGAACCCTAGGCCGGCGTGTGGCACCGCTGTCAAGTCAGTACGCATATCCATAAGTGTGTGGCTTGTTGGGGCGGTTGGGCTCTGACTTTCTTTCGGACTCTTTCAATGGGATCTGGCACGATTGGATTACGCTGTGAACAAAAATCACCCAAGATCGCTGCAAACAAACAGTTCCAAGAGGAAAGACCATGCATCTACATACATTTTGATACAAGCAACGCCAAGTCTGCACATGCAGCAAGTGGATCGAAGATTCTCCTCTATCCAGTTGTCATCCGAAACACCAGCTGCGAATGTGTTTCACGTGCACCTGAGAATTCCCGGACCCTTTCTACATCTTGCCATGGGGTTTCTCGGACTCTTTCGCACTGGCTTCGAATTTGTTGAGCGGAAGGTTTCGAAGCGTCCCCGCAGCGTCTTCCGCATGGAAAAAAACATGCTTTTCCCTTCTGAATCCCCCCACACGCTCGTCAGTCCTGAGTCCTGCGAAAAAAAGAACGACCCCACCTGTTGGCATTCACCAGGATCAGCATGCTGGTGGCGCTAATGAGGCTTTGACACCAAATGTTCGTGTAGCTAATCCCCACCTGATCAGGTTAGCCCGGGGCCATTCGCGCGTCAGCCGTTTGGGGGTTTGGGGCTCCGCCGGCGGTGCCATCGATCCTTCGATCCTTCACGGTCGAACGGTCTCCCCGGTCGTTTCGAACGGTTTTTTGGGCGGTCGGACCGAAACTCTGTGGTGGGTTTGGGTGGGGCCTAAACGAATCCCGATCGGTTTGGGGAGGAAAGCGTCTGCTTGCATCCGATGGATGGCACGGAGGTCACCACCTGCCACGGCCGATGTCTGCAAAAGCCATGCAACGGAGACCTGTTGGGTTCGGTGCTGGTACAGGTGCTGCAAGAAAAATTAGCTTTCTTTGGACAAGTTCTCCACTCGACGTGCGAGCGAAAAACGCGAGAACAGCGGAGAACATTCCCGCTCTCTCGCTGTGCCGAGAAATCCGATGCCGAAGTCGTGCTTTTCCAAACGCCCCCTTGTCCCAGCAGCAAGGCAGACCTGATTGTCATCCATTGTCCCATTTCATCCCATTTCGCAAACGGGATGAACTTTGTGGTCGAACATCTTTGTTTTTTGGAGGCTATAGGCCCTCTTGTGGCCTCAACGGTTCCCATTCTCGGCTGAAAGCGCCAAGAAGCTGCGACCACACAGCTGATGACCATCAAATTCGTCTCCCTCTGTGTCAGGGACATCAGCGCGGCTGGGGCCGAGTGGACCTCTCCTGACCACGTCTCGGACGGAACGCCCTCCGCCGGAGGTGTCGGAACAAGACTAGAAACAAGGGCATCGCTACTAGTAACAAGTGCCTTCCTACGAACGGGGCTCCTGGCCTTACTACGAACGGAGCAAGAGAACGCGAACCGAACGGAGCAAGACGGGCATCGCCATTCCCCAACTCAAAAAGGTCGGTTCCGATGTGGGCGCGGAGAAGCACAAGGCATCGATTGGTCGGAATCTTTCCACTTCGGAAAAAAAGGGAGCTCCCAGGGCAACTAGTAGCGTCCTTGTTACTACTAGTAAGGCACTTGTTACTAGTAGCGATGCACTTGTTCCTAGTAGCTTCCTACCCTTCTTCTTTGGCTTTTGGAGGAAAAAGGTCGTGTTGGATGCTTCGTGGTTACTTCTTCAACTCCCAAAACTGGAACCTCCCTCTCCTGTGAAATAGGCCGTGACCAGCAGTGGCAGCAGCCCTAAGGCGTTGTTGATCAAGGAGCATCCACTCTTCGAGATGTCCACAGGATTCCTCAACCAATGGCGATGCCCCAAGAACTGACGACGGGTCTGCCGCTCGCTCGGACGGCGGGTTTCGCCAGGTGTAGAGCGGCGATCGAGATGGCGGAGTTCGTGGTCCGTGGAAGATGCCAAAAGTGGCCCTGAAGGTGCAAAATGGGTGGACCTTCTTTGTGCCAAATGGGTGGACCTTCTGGCGGCTTCGTGTTTGGGATGCATCCGCCACTCACGGAAAAGATCCCATCAAGCACCTCTGCACAAAAGGACACCAAGAAACTCAGCGGCATATAGGGGCATCATGATGATCATGCATAGCGATGCTATGTCAGATGGGAATTTGCTCGCAATCGAGACCTTCGGACGTTTTCTTCGGACCCCCCAAGCTGAGACGGAAAGCCCACCAGACGTGACACACCCAACACTGAACAAATCGACGGGTCGGGCGGGCGATGCGCCCAACCGATTGACAGACACTCATCCTTTTTCAACCAGAGAAGACAACCAGGACCGACCCCGTTCGTCCGGTGGTTTTTCCACACCCCGTTGGCCTTGAAACCTCTTCCGTCCGAGGCTATTGTATAAAGACACCCCCGTAGAGGAAAGGGTCATGGAAGAGACCACGTGTTGCGACTGCTTTTCCTTGTGGAAGAGCGGTGTGGATGGCTGCCGTCAGGGACCTCAACCCCTCCCAGGTCTTTCTTTCCACCGAGTTCGCGAACGTGTCCGCCGCTTGGGTCCGGTGCCGCTTTGGCTCTGGTCCGCGGCCAGCATCTTCCGCTGCAGGAGCCGCGTGAGCACGGAGAAGCAGGTGTTCACGGCGATCCATCCGACACCCACCAGGTGCCGGAACTCCAGATCTTTCGTGTAGAGCAAGGCACCTGAGAGAGGAACTTGGAGCGTGGAGCAAGCTTTTGGAGTTAGCGAGCTCTGTCGACAGTGTGTTATTACTGGAGGGGGAGAAGAAACGGCATCTATATGGAAGTCTTGTGTTTCTCTTAAAGACACAAATGGAAGGATAGTATAGTCCTTTCACCTTCTGCTGGTCGATGAGTTGAGGGATGTGATCTTTTTGTGAATGTCCATCTTGTGGTTGATCCTTTTCCATTTTCACTCTTCTGTGCTCAGCCCGGTCCGTTGTGTCGCGACCCAAACCCGCTCAGCACTGCTGAGGCGCCTAGGACCATGATGAAGATTGAGAGGATCATCTGCCGGTTCACGTGAAGCACCGACGAGCGGTTCATCTCGGCCATCAACGCGAACATCGGCGACATGGCGCGGACCACGATGACCAAGGTCCTTGGCGACGGGTTGGAAGGCGCAGTGAATATTTGGTAGGAAAGGTCGTTTCCGACTTAAACCGGAACAAGAATGAATCACTGGAGAACCATCTCACATAAGGTTGGTCTTTTGAACGGAGTCCTTGTTAGCGGAAAGGCCTCACCGCAGAACACGAACACTGCGCTTGGCCCCAAACGGCGAAGTCGGTGGAACGGACGGTCGCCGTTCGGCGGTCGAACAAAAGACTTTAAGGCCTCCAACCGAGCCAAGCGATGGAACTACCAGGGGCCTTGGTTTGGGTGTGTCATAGAGTTAATAGCTCCTTTCAGGTGATTCAGGATGTCCATTCACTCAACTCCCTAAGGGGTCCTGGTCAAGGCTTGACCATCGGAACGATGCAGAACTTCTAAGGCGTGTCTTTTGCCCAGCTCTCACTGACCTTCGTCAGACCCACCTGACCAACTGCTCTTGGGCCCTTGATTCGAGGTGGCACTTGGCACTTGGCGCCAGGCGCTGCGAAGCACTGAGCTGTTTTGAACATCGAAGTATCCAAGCACAGGCCCACCCAACAGAGGTAGCCAGTGACCTGAACTAGGACCCGTCACCAGGGGTACCTATATATAGGATAGTCTAGTTCGGGTTGTTCAACCTCTGCTGGACTGCCAGACTGCCAGTGAGTTCACCATCCTTTCCAGAAACCAGTTCCATGTGGATCCATGGAGTTCATGGGGGTGCCGAACGGAGGCTTGTTGCGGTCGGTGCCCTGAGGTGGTGCGGTGCCCTATCACCACTCACGACCAATCCAAAGCATTCCTTTGAAACTGCACAAATCATCCCACCGGTCACGTGACCTTCTCCCTTTCACTGCACCGCCCTCACCACCGTGGCGCATGGTGCAGTGTTTCAAGGCCAGCCTTGGGAAGTTCACCCGTCCGGCAGGACGAAGGAGCTGCTCCACCGTGGGTCCACCGGGGCCAACGGTCCACCGTCCGAGGACCGGTCCAAAGCGACCTTCCAAAACCTCCTTCCCAGACGCTCCGTGAAAACCGTTCGACTGGTCCCGAAGCAAACCATAGGGATTGGTGAGAAGGTCCAGACCCTGGGTCCCAGTGCGGGTCCAAAACGGGGTGCGACCCCCATCCTTTAAACCAAATCCCGGGAGCCCTGTCTGGGTTCTACCTCCAAGGAACAAAACGGTCCAAGCAAATGAAGATCCACCCAACTTCGGGTTGTTGGGTTGCTGCCACGCTGCTGAATCTAGTCTGTCGCTTCTGTACGTCGCGCCGGCAGAAACCACATCCCTCTTGCGGAATGGGACAAGGACAGGCGGCTTTGGCGGTTCGATGGTTGGACCAATGCAGCTGGGTTTGTTGATGAGCTCAAGTTCCCCCGGAGCAGCGCCCAGCCCCCCCCCCGGCGGCAACAGAAAGTCGTTCGCCCGGAGCGGAGCACGGTGCCGAGGGGCATGGAGGTCAACAACATTCCTGCGAAGCACGGTGCCACCAGGGACCAGCGTAGCGCATCGCGCAGGGAGCCCACGTGCAAGGTGGGCCAAGCAGCCACGAGGACCAAGACAGTGAAGGCCATCTGCAAAGCGGTCAACCTGCGCAGAAGACCGAAGCATCGCTCGTGTTCGAAGCCTTCGGCCGCCTTCGGTTTACGGGTCGTCAAGAGAATGCCAACGGTCGGCATTGACAGGAATGTGATGACAGGAATGGATGAGTTGGGTGGGCAGGATCGAAATCGAAGGTGTCTGAGCGCCTCATCCGGGTGGTGTTTTCTGGCAGAAACCCGGATCGAGTTGGCCAGTCCACCAATCCCACAAAACCAGGGGTCCACGGAGGGCCTCGGGGCCATGACAAAAAGACTCCTAGGACACCACAAATCCTAGGAATCCAGTTTTTCTGGTCAACAGCTTCTTCTTGGCGCAGTCACGTGCTTTCATAGGGGAAGACGGTGATGGCCAGCTTGTTGGTGACCTCGGTCGGAGAACAGCGCCCGCGCCCGGGCCCACGAAATCGGTGTTTGACCGGGGGTTCTTCCTCCATGAAGCTAGTGAACATCACTCTCAATGGTCGTCGTTGGTGACCCGAATTGAGGAATAGATCGTCGAACTGGACTTAGCCGGGTTCTTCCAGACCCCCCCAAAGCCTCAAAAACAAAGCCTCTGATTCTTCGGTACACGTTGGAAACCGAACTACTAGTCTACGTTTGGGACGCTCCAGCAACATGTGCGAACCTCAAATCCACACTCCCCCACAACTTGCGGTTTTGCATGTCTGTTCCAAGGCCAGTAAAGAAGGCTGTCAGAATTGGTTTCAGAAAAGGCCCACTGTCTTCTATGAGTTTCAGCGCATGTTTTTGGAGGGGTGTCCCTCCAGGACCTGCAGAGTGGAGGACAAATCTCTTCCAAACCCTGTGGTTTGCGCTGTTTCTTGGCCTCAAACTCCACCAACTGGATCGAACCGAACGCCATGCAAATCCGGATTTACGACCAAGTCACAATCATCGAGACCGAGCAGAATACAAAGCTGGACACGCTAAGCCTCGCTTTGCCCGGTCGACTGGTCAATCCGCCGATAGAAACACCAGAACAAGTGCATCGCTACTAGTAGCTAAGGGCATTACTACTAGTAGCAAGAAGCTACTTGCTAGCGATGCCCTTGCTACTACTAGCGATGCCGAGGGAGAACTGGCCAACACTAGGTCAGGACGAGCCGTGACCACTTGTGTCTTGCAGGCCATCTTAAACAATAAAGAGCCTCCTTCTACATCTTCCATGGATTGCATCAGTTGCACCTACCTGTTCAACCTTTCACCATGTCCCTTTTGGCCCGGTCCGGGGCACCGGTCCGGTTCTCCGGCGCTGGCCTTCGGGGCTCCGCCTCCTAAAAGCAAGGGCCAACCTACGGAGGGCCTCCAACCGAAGACTCTCATTCTTTACACCCAAAAGCCCTCCAGTTCCTTCTTCTGCGCCCAGGAATGACCTCCACGGGGAAAAAGCCACCCAATTAAACTTAATTTCAATACTAGTTTCTAATGGCTTCTTGTTACTACTAGTAAGGCACTTGTTACTAGTAGCGATGCACTTGTTACTACTAGCACTTGTTTAATGGCGCGTGTGTCTTGCCAGGATGCAGCGTCTCCACCGTCTCCAGCAGCGAGCCATTCTTCGACATGGCGCACGGCGCGCCGTGAGGCTTCGCTTCGGTGGACACCGGGCTCTTCGGTGGACGCTACTAGTCACTGTGAGAGCGCCACAAAGCTTGCGAGTCTGAGGGGTTTGGAGTGTGGGTGGGGTGAAGTGGCGAAGGGTTGATCGCCAGTGCGCATTCAGCAGGCTAGATGAGCTCTGGTCCTTCTGTTCGCATGTAGTGAACCCTAGAGGGTTACACCAATTCATGGGGTGAGTTTCGCCCTTCTCGTTCGATGTGGCCCACGGATGTTGCAAGTACGGATGTTGCACAACTCACACATCCATCCATTGCTTCGCCATCAAGCCAAACGCTAATGGTCCACAGGCGGTCAATTCGATTGGAGCAATGATACTAGTAGCAGACATATTGGGAAAATCAACTACTCGTGCATGATCTTAGAAACATCACAGCCCTGCTGGAGGGTCTACCCTCAGTATCCTAATCACCTTCGTGTGTGCACCTTCCGGCGCTCCAACAAAGAGTCTAAAAACGAATCTCAACGCCTGCAGTTCGACGCTTAGATGGACCAACCTGCGGGGATCCTGTGACATCATCACCCTCCAAAAGCCCGATAGACTCCAGTGTCGAAGGGATCAAGGAGAAGTTCTCCTCCTCTTTGCATCAAGTTCCAGATCTAGTGGCTTGAGTGGCACCACATCTGACCCTAAGTGGATTCTGACGACTCGTCGGGTGTCACCTTGACCTCAAGGATGAGGAAAAAGGGGTCCCTTTTTCCTCGTCTTCTTTTTTCATGTCTTCTCGATCGCATGGTGTTCTTGTTGTGAAACACTTTGACACTCACTCCCTTGAGTCCTCCTGGAAACGCTGTTGACCAGCAACCACCAGCGACCTGGACAGTATTCACCAACTCCGCCAGCTTACTCACTTGTTTCTACCAGTTCTTTTGCAGCAGTCATCTGGAAACACACCTAACTCATCGCCTAGTCATACTTCGTCGGAATCCGGTGAAAAACAAGAGAATTTTCCCAGATCGAATGAGTCCCCCTTGGCCGCTTGGCTCAACCCCAAACACTCGGCATCCTCCCCAAGTTCGGTCTTTTAGCTTCATCCAAAGGAACACATCGTTCGGGCTTTGTACCATCGAACCTCTGAAACCGCTCTACACTTTCGCTCCAAGGGCACGCCAATGGGGCGCCGGACCCGAAACGGTCACACCCAACCCCCGGTGACGCTTCCGCCGAGTTACGGAGATCGGGCCGCCCCACCGACACCGGACACGGCGGCCGTTTTTCCGCCGCAGGCGGTTGCTGTGAGCCCGGTTGGAGTGGTCGAACCGAAAGGTTTGGTGAAAGCAGGTGGTTGTTCTCCAAATGGAAAGAACTACCTTTTTGGAACTCTTTTCTTCATGTTTGATGATGGTCTATGGTGGTGCAGGGAAAACACTTCGGTGGCGAAGTCTCTGAAAAGATTGACTTCACATAAATATGCATAAATTAATAAACAATGTTGTGTAAATATAAGTTAAGTATATAGAACTCTGAACAAACATGCCAATGCCAACCTTCGTCGCATCTGTTACACACATAAGAGCGAACCAACACGCACACCCTGCTCAAAGCCGCGGGACTTTGAACAAACCTTTACTGTTTACCTCAAGTCTTTCGCCATCAAAAGGGTTGACTCCATTTTTTCTGCAAACACAGCAGGAAAGGCTTCTGGTCACACGCATCGCTACACCGAACGGAGCGACGCTACATAAACGGCATCGCAACGGAACGCTACCGGGGCGATCGAACGTAGCGAGTTTCTGGCACGGCAAACACTGGAAATGAAGGATCCACATGGAGGACTAAAGAAACAGGACACGACGTCTTCACCTGAGAGGTTTCCCCAATCCCAAAACAGTTTCTTCCAGGTTCGGGGTAGGAACAAGTGCATCACTACTAGTAACAAGTGCCTTACTAGTAGTAACAAGTACCTTACTAGTAGTAACAAGAAGCTAGTAGAAACAATAAATCGAATTAAACTTGTAGGAACAAGTGCCTATGTAGTGTCCTAGTCCCTGTCAGAGATTTGAGAGGTGACCAAGGCAGATTCCCAATCCTTCCAAGGGTTGGCCTATGGTCGGACGCGAGCAAAAACCCTACTCCGCCGATCGATGTGCATCGATCCACAAACCAAAACGATTGGGTGGTGCTTTTGGATGCGGCGACCGTCGTGGTTTGTATGATATTCTCCCAGCCCTGAGGTTGGCAAGACTCGTCTTTTTGGTTCGCTCTGTCGACGAGTCCTGCTGCCGACTGGGAATTGCAAGACGTACGGCTTTGCAGGTGATCGGGAGGTGTACGGCTTGCGGCAAAAAGATGTCCATGGCCTCAAAACCTTTTTTGAGATGGACAAGTGTTATGATGTACCTTACAGCCTAACTCTGAAATCTCAAGGATTCATAAAAAAGCAAAAAAAAGGCAAAACCACACTCACAAAGGATGACCAGGAAATGCAAAAGAAATGCATAAAAAAAGCAAAAAAAGGCAGCTGGTCAAAAAGAGTGCATATCAAAAAGCAAAAAAAATGCAAAAGGAAGCCAGAAAAAAAGCAAAAAAAAAGCAAAAAAAAAGCAGAACAGCAGTTCAAAAAAAGCAAAAAAAATGCAAAAAAAATGCACATGCACAACCAAATTTCACACACCACCCTTTTTTGTGCGATTTTTTTGCATTTTTTTTGCATTTTTTGTGCGTTTTGTTTTGCATTCTTTTGTTTTTTTTGTGCGTTTTTTGTCGATTTTTTTGCGTTTTCTCAAGGAAACGCACAAAAAAATGCAAAAAAATCGCAAAAAACGCAAATACAAAGCAAAAAA